ATTGTTTCGACTGAATTAAGTACTAAAATGCTAAATGTTATTCCAACTTTATTTCTTCTTACCTATTAACTTACTTCTGTTGGCGTACTTTGCGCTAAAAGGTAACATAAAATAAATGCTAATACAAATGAAAAACACTTGTACGGAAACCATTCGTAACAACCTCTTAACATATATAGGCCTAAAAAATTAAATTTATGAAATTGAATATTAATATACTACCTGATATTACGTTCAAAATGAAGGTAAACTGTAGATAATAAACGTAATTCTATTACAATTAATAAATATTTTATTTTACGGCTCGCCTGTCAATGTTGGTCGGCCATATTGGCGCCGGACCGACCAGCTGCTTAAAAAGCCGAAACAGTGAAATGTTGGCCTCCTTTTTAAATTTGCCGCTAGTTTTGGCGCCAAAATGGCGGTAATTGCGGTACTTTATATATCTAGGGACTTTACCACGATTTAACACAGAGTTGACACTTCTTTCTAGTTAATTATTTTATGGAGCGATGTACTCTGGCGATGTACCATCGATTGGTTGTCCTGCTGAACGTGCTTTTTAGATCAAATATTTGGATCAAAATGTGATCAAAATCTGTTCTGTGATCAAAATCATAAGTAATACATATTAAATTGTTTTCACCCATTTTTGGCACAAATCGAGGGGATTAGTCAACCGGGTAAAGGTGTGGATCCGGTGGCTGACCTTGAAGCCCATATTTGCTGCATTTGATCATCGATACTACGCAAGCGCACATGGTCGATGTTGCCAAATTGCAGTTTATTTTCGAATTATTTGCAGTTGAAAAATTTTTTTTTTGAGTGTTAATCAATTATAATACAAATTCTATAATTAATTTTATAATTTCAGATTTATCTTGATATCCAAAATTAAGGTAAGAAGGATAATGAAGACTGTGATAATACAGTATTATGAATATATAAAATTGTAATAATAATAACATTTATTTATATATTTACATTAGAATTAAAAATTATCATGTACGGATTTTTTCTTGATCGTTTTAAACTTATTAGAAATATTTTATTTCTTTCAAGTTATTTAATTTCTAGTTATTTACAGGCAACAATAGTTTTGATTATATGTATTGATGTTTTGAAATACCGTATAATCGATAAAAACAACGTCAACGATGGCTATGAAATGAAGATCGCTGTCATTTTATATGTAAAATTATACAGGGAATGGCATGGATCGTCATTTCCAAGCCAACTGGACGCCGTTTTTTTCGATCATGCAGTACTACCATGACGAGTCTTATAGAACAATACATGTCAATGGGAGATAGAGGTAACATCTTATCTATAATGTTACTAATATAATATACTTTGATTGTAATGTTTGTATCATAATTTCTTAAAAATATCAAGTTAGTGGATTAATAGCAATTTTAGACATATATTTTATCGAAGAGTGTGTTGATAAGATTAAAATAAGCTTTATGTTTTATCTTTTTCTCTTTAGAAGGAGATGGTTTGTGTGTAAGAATACATTACAGCATTTAATATCGTGTACTTTGACATTCTTTTCTTAATTTACTGTAATTTCTTGTTTGCTATAATGCCAAATCTTGACAATATGGTGAAGGTTGAGTTTTGATCTTATTAGTTTTATACCTGTGTTTATACAGAGACCAAATTAAGATTAGTTTGTAATTAGTTTGTGATTTATATTAAGATCTTTCTTATAATATTTGTTATGTCTTAATCTTAATACTATATTATGCTTTGTCTGGAAAATAAATGTTAAAATATCTTAATTTTGCATATCCTATTCCATCCTTCCATTAGGAAAAATATGGTCTATAAATCATATTATGCTAAGAGAAAATCACATAAATTAGGTGTAAGAATAGAGAAATCCTTAGGTAGCAGAAAAATAATGCAATATATGTATAAGCAGAGATTAAACAAGGTAACTGTAAATGTTGCTGAAGCTGATTCTACAATTTTAATTACGGAGGCTAAAATGCCTTTTAAGGCCTCCGTAGTTTTGATGGAATGTTAAAAAAACTATTATGAACATGACATGGAGCTACAGCATTTAAAAATTTAAAAAAAAAGAAAAAACTTGGACACGTCCCTTTTAATTTCCCCAATTTTTGAATAAAGCACTTTTTAAACGTAGCATTATAATCTAGAGCAATTAGATTAATTATAGGAATCTAGAATTTTATTTCTATTTAATTTTATTGACTATGAAAATACATAATAAGCATTCACGTTTCATGTGTTGTGCGAAATATTAAAATTATTATAGAAATAATATACCGCGTACTATGATTGAAAAAAATAGCGTCAGCGATGACTATGAAATGAAGATCGCTGTCATTTTATATGGGAAATGTCCTCAATCGTCATTTCCTAGCCAACTAGACGCTGTTTATTCGATCATACTGTATATATTGACAAAACACACTGAAAAGCACATATTTGTTTTCTACTGAAAATAATTCCAAAATAACTTGCAATCTGGCAACATCGAAGAAGTGCGCCTGCGTAGTGTCTGTGACTATATACAGCAAAAACTCGTTTCAAGGTCAGCCACCGGATCCACACCATTACCTAAATTTAATCTTAAGATATTAACCAGTTCGTTTTAAAAATATTCTACCAGATTCATATTTGACATAAAACATATGTTTACCGCTGGGTAACGGTAAATACCGAAGGTATAATTTTCGTAAACGCCTAATGGTGTGGATTTGGTGTGGATCCGGTGGCTGACCTTGAAACGAGTTTTTGCTGCATATAGTCACAGACACTACGCATACGCACATCTTCGATGTTGCCAGATTGCAAGTTATCTAATTTTCTGCTGAACGCGCCGATTAGTTGTGAGCGCTCTGGGATCAGTCGCCATTTTTTCCATCAGATTTAAAATACGCTACGCTACCGATGCATGATAATGGATTAAACGTCACATACGCCAAATGTCACAAAATGTTTTGGAAAACGAAAACAAAGCATTTTGTTTATTGTTCTCGGTTGACTAATCCCCTCGATTTGTGCCAAAAATGGGTGAAAACAATTTAATATGTATTACTTATGATTTTGATCTAAAAAGCACGTTCAGCAGGACAACCAATCGATGGTACATCGCTCACTGATCAACTTGTCCTGATGAACGCGACTATGGAAAAAATGGCGACTGATCCCAGAGCGCTCACAACTAATCGGCGCGTTCAGCAGAAAATTAGTGATCGCTGCGGTAGCTGTGGCGATAGCGCTACGTCCTGATGAACGCGACCAATATGTACTGCTTCCTCATACTGATTAAAGATGATTAAAGACATTAAAGATAGAGGTCATTCGACATATCTGTATCTTCTGTATCTGTGACCAGGGTTCGAAAGTAGTTAATTAAGACGTAATTTACCTGATTAACTACGTGTAGTTTTTCTTCAAAAACTACGACTTTTCCCGTTCATTAACTACATGAAAACTACATTAATAAACTATGTATTGATATTCTGAATAATTTTCCTTTGTATGAGATGAAATAGAGATAATATGATGTAAATATTATATTTAAAGCCATATTTCTTCTGTTTTCTTAAATACATTATGTGTTTTTAAAGCTTCAACTTATTATAACCTCACCTCAAACCTTTGAATAAGAAGACTAAGGAAGGAGCATATCAAAATCTTAGGTACACCGCGATAGGCCTCAAATATGGCCAACTTAAATTCCGGTTTATCAGTGTCGTTCTAATTTTATTTAAAAAATGTAAAACTATGATGTAGGGTAGACGTGGGGTAGACTCAATAATTTGTTGTTTTATTTTACGTTCTGAATAAATGTTGGTAGTTATTAAAATTGTTATAAAAATATATAATTCTAATAAAAATAGATAAGTTATAATAAGTACCTATTTATAAACACAAACATCCGATACGCTACTGAAGCAGGTAAGTCAAATCCTTAAATTAACGTATCTAAATTCTTTGACATCTAATCTTTGACAAGTAATAAATAAAAGCTAAAATGCAAGAAAAATATATAATTTAGTTAATTTAAGTGAATTTCATAAATGATCGGTTTACTACACTTACTAGCGAAAAGTTGTTCCATTATTTCACTCAATTTTTGCCGAGATCTACCGCACGCTACACAACCAACTATTTTAGAGTCTTATTGATAAATCGCGATAGTGTCACTGTTGATTTAAGTACTGCCACAATTTCCATCTAGATTTATTACCTTTATACAACTATAAGTAGTAGGATAAATAATAAATAACATAAAATAAGCTCCGTAAAGACTGATAAATCCACAAAATTTCAAATCAAATTCAAATGTGTCAAATGAATCGTCAAACAGAACTGTCGAGGATCCCCACCCTAGAGAGCTTTTTCCGCCCACCATGCATGAATACATGGATAGCATTATGCTCCTTCCTTAGTCTTCTTATTCAAAGCCTCAAACCTTTGATATTTGAAAGTTACATACATAGGTTACATAAACTACATCCTCTACATAACTACATTAACTACATGTAATGTAGTTTATGTAGTTTTTAAAAGTAACATGTAGTTTTCCGAACCCTGTCTGTGACTTTTAACCAGGGTTCGGAAGTAGTTAACTAAGACGTAATTTACCTGATTAACTACGTGTAGTTTTTCTTCAAAAACTACGTCTTTTCCCGTTCATTAACTACATGAAAACTACGTTAATAAACTATGTATTGATATTATGAATATTTTTCCTTTGTATGAGGTGTAATAGAGATAATATGATGTAGATATTATATTTAAAGCCATATTTCTTCTGTTTTCTTAAATACATTATGTGTTTTTAAAGCTTCAACTTATTATAACCTCACCTCAAACCTTTGACATTTGAAAGTTACATACATAGATTACATAAACTACACCTTCTACATAAACTACATTAACTACATGTGATGTAGTTTATGTAGTTTTTAAAAGTAACATGTAGTTTTCCGAACCCTGCTTTTAACCTCCATATCTGTGACAAACATGTTGAATGTTCCTAACCTAAACTGTAGCCCCTGTAGTCTGTAGAAGAAATAAATTTAAATTAAAAAATATCTTGTGTCCATAATTATAGCAGATTATAGTATGGCCAGTATGGCACTGGATGCAAATCTAGCCAAATAAAAATAATAGGGTAATATATTGAAATGAAATCACATATATTAAAACTATTTAGCTCTATTGGTGTAGTAATTCAGTATGGGTGCATTGCTCATTGTACTTTTGAATACATAGGAGATTTTGTTCTGGTAGGTCGCTCTTTCAATAGTAATTTATTATTTTATTTTCGAGTAATTTGCATGCCAATTAATTAATAATTCTGGAAAATACTACATAAAATAGGTACTCTAAAAAAGATTTAAAAAAAGTGTTCTTTCTAGTGTTCTGGACCATCTATGGAACCAACAATATTTTCGGATGATGTTCTATTCACTGAACACATATCTCCTCTTACACAAAGTATTAGTAAAGGTGATATAATAATTGCTAAGTGCCCAACTAATCCGAAACAGCAAATATGCAAAAGAGTTGTTGCAATACAGGTAAAAGTTAAATCGTAATAAAATACATTCTATACTAAGCTAATCATTCTAGTATTTCTACAATTTCTTGTATGCTGTAAAGCTTCAAAATGTTCTATAGGAATACAGTTCTTATACAGTACATAATTATGTAATTAAATGTATTTTCTAAAGCATCATAGAAAGAATGTTCTTATTTTTAATAAATTAATAATAATAATAGTACTATAGATAGAATATCTGTGTTTTCTGACATCTCTTTGTAAATATGAAATAAATGTCATCTCACATTACTATTATTCAGGGCTAACACTCATCCAACATTCATCATTTTAAGGGTGAAAAAATTAAAACTGGCTTTGCAAGTTATCAAATAGTTCCTATTGGTCATGTATGGTTGCAAGGTGATAATAAAAATAATTCAACAGACAGTAGAAGTTATGGACCAGTACCTTTAGGGCTCATTAGAAGTAGAGCAGTTTGCAAAGTCTGGCCGCCGAAAAGTATATCTATGTTGAGTAGTTGATGTTAGTATATTAGAAAATTAAAACATTTCTAGAAATTGTTAATTGATATGATTGTTTAGGTCATATATCATATAAAATTATTTTACATATTAAGTCTAGTCAAAGAGTAGATAAGACAAGAGACGACAGTGAACAAAGAAGTCGAATTTCGCGGGAGAGACGCAGATATATTAAAATTTAAAGGTCCCATCAAGTTTGCCATCAAGTCCCATTTTGTCTGTTGCCAAGTATATTTCTTTGAAAAATAAACAAGGTTTTCTGAAAATAAATTAATAATATAAGAAGGATATAAGTAACGTATGTTAATACGGAAATATAAATTTTTAGTTTAGGTTGGTTTAGGTTCTTTTTTCACAATGTACTGATAATATCAAAGAAACAGAATTAAGCTACATTCGAAATCAATTCGCTGGCCGAGTGGCACTTCGACGTTAAAGTCGGCACGAAATTAACCATTCACAACAAATTTCAATTCGAATTTTGCGCATGCGTGTTTAAACGTTCTCCTGACGGAAACTAAAGTCCCTAGATCAGAAACCGCTATAAAATTAAAATGCTACAAACATTGTAGAAGAAAAGTAGTTTTTTCTTTTGGAAAGTTGCCACTCCTGACTCGCATTAAGGATGTCGTAAAGATGTTATGAAAGTGTCGATACTGTTAGCGGTTTACTTTTTCTAAAATATGTTCAAGCACCCAAAACTTTTTCTCGCCATTAATATGGGTTGGACACCTCATTTTTTGGGTTTTGGTAAACCCCTTGGTTTTCGGTCAAGCTAATTATTGAGCTGCAATAATAATTGCCGTTTTTTTAACAGCAAAGCCACAAGTTCTAATAAAATAAGAATAGCGTCCTTCACTCATTTTTCTTTTAATAATTATTTACTTTTCACAGAAAAATGGCTTGTAACAACGACACAAACAAAATAATTATTAAAATTTAAATGTCAAATTTGTCATAATTGTCAAACCAAAATTCCGTGCTAAAGTGGAAGTTTGCAGCTTGCAAGCTTTCAATCCAACTTCAACTTGCACTCTGGCGTCGAATTTTGTTGTGAATGAGTACACTGAAGTACAGGGACATCATTTTAAGTGTCTCACTCGATTTATAATTTTCCTGTTTGATATTTAAAGATAATAGAAAGATTTCCTAATGTAATTTTTCGCGAGGATACCGATTGTCTACACCAAAATTTTTTAAAACGTCAATTTTGACAGATACGACGCCATCTTGATTTTTTTAATGGAAACCTCACATATTTTAGCATGGTCCAGTAGACATATTTTAGCTAATTTCAAAATATATAGTTTAGTATACTTTGCACTTACCGTTTCGATATACAGTGGATTTAAAAATGAATTGTTCAGAATCATTTTAAGTGTCTCACCCAATTTAAAATTTTCCGCTTTCCTATTTTAAGATAGTAAAAAGATATTGTAATGTAATTTTTCGCGAGGATACCGATTGTCTACACCAAAATTTTTTAAAACGTCAATTTTGACAGATACGACGCCATCTTGATTTTTTTTAAATGGAAACCCCCACATATTTTAGCATGGTCCGGTAGACATATTTTAGCTAATTTCAAAAATATATAGTTTAGTATACTTTGCACTTACCGTTTTCTATATACAGTGGATTTAAAAATGAATTGTTCCAGAATCATTTTAAGGATCTCACCCAATTTAAAATTTTCCTCTTCTCTATTTTAAGATAGTAAAAAGATATTTCAATGTAATTTTTCGCGAGGATGCCGATTTTCTACATTAAATTTTTTTACAACGTCAATTTTGACAGATACGACGCCATCTTGATTTTTTTAAAATGGAAACACCATCATATTTTAGCATGGTCCGGTAGACATATTTTAGCTAATTTCAAAAATATATAGTTTAGTATACTTTGCACTTACCGTTTTCGATATACAGTGGATTTAAAAATGAATTGTTCCAGAATCATTTTAAGTGTCTCACCCAGTTTAAAATTTTCCTCTTTCCTATTTTAAGATAGTAAAATATATTGTAATGTAATTTTTCGCGAGGATACCGATTGTCTACACCAAAATTTTTAAAACGTCAATTTTGACAGATACGACGCCATCTTGATTTTTTTTAAATGGAAACCCCCACATATTTTAGCATGGTCCGGTAGACATATTTTAGCTATTTTCAAAAATATATAGTTTAGTATACTTTGCACTTACCGTTTTCGATATACAGTGGATTTAAAAATGAATTGTTCCAGAATCATTTTAAGTGTCTCACCCAATTTAAAATTTTCCGCTTTCCTATTTTAAGATAGTAAAAAGATATTGTAATGTAATTTTTCGCGAGGATACCGATTGTCTACACCAAAATTTTTTAAAACGTCAATTTTGACAGATACGACGCCATCTTGATTTTTTTTAAATGGAAACCCCCACATATTTTAGCATGGTCCGGTAGACATATTTTAGCTAATTTCAAAAATATATAGTTTAGTATACTTGGCACTTACCGTTTTCGATATACAGTGCATTTAAAAATGAAATCTTTAGAATTATTTTAAAGTGACTCATCGAGTTTACAATTTTCAATTTTAAAATTCTTGAGAAATGTCAAATTTGACAATTACGACGCTTAAATTTTTTTATTTATTTATACTTTGATTCTTCTTCAATATGACCTTTACATACGGGGTGATTCCGGAAACTTTGGCAGCATATTTTGCAGATAAAAATAAGTAAAAAAGTTCGTATAAATGTCCTAACATGCTTAGTTTCAGAGATACAGGGTGTAGAAGTATCATTTTTATTTCGATTTTTTCCAAATAATTTGTGAAGTAACGTTAATACCGTATGATCGAAAAAAAACGGCGCCCAATTGGCTGGGAAATGAACATCGATGACAATTACCATATAAATTTACATATAAAATGACAGCGATCTTCATTCCATAGCCATCGCTGACGCCGTTTTTTCTCGATCATACGGTACTTTGATGAAAATTGGTGTCGAGATTTTTGATAATGAGAAATTTGATTTTGATGTCAATATAAATCCAATTTCTAGGGGGCACCACATACACGTGTTTTAACTGTTCTGAAGAGTAATAACTTTTCGTCCGTCCGTACGTAACTGAGTATACGTACTACTGAGTGAAAAAATATTCATTTATAACGATTTTTACGTAAAAAAGGTCTGTTGGTAAAAATTGTTACGAGTAATGGTTCTCGAGATACTGGGAATCGAAATTATCAATACCTGTCATCATTGACATATATTAAACATGTAGAGTTACTAGACTGAAATCATAAATTTGAAATGTTTTTATGCCAAAAGTTCAACAGAAACTGTTTTATCATCATTTTTCCGCAGAAAAAATTATAATTAATTTAAAAAAAATAAAATTTCCCACATTTATTATTTCAGCCAAATATCTATTCTACTCAACGTGTTTATTTTTTTGTCAATAATGACATGTATTGACTATTTCCATTCCAAATATCTTGAGAAAGGTTGCTCGTAGTGATTTTTACCAAGATACATTTTTTACGTAAAAAGTCAAGAAAATGTATATTTTTTACCCAGTAGTTTTATACAGGTATGGGCGAAAATTTATTACTTTTCAAAACAGTTAAAACACATGTAGGTGGCGCCCCCTACAAATAAGAGTCATATTGACATCAGAATCAAGTTTCTCATGTCAAAAAACTCCCAGACACGAATTTTCAGCCAAATATTGACGTTACTTCAGAAATTAATTCGAAAAAATCGAAATAAATATGAAACTTCTACACCCTGTATCTCCGAAAGTAAGTATTGTAGGACATATATTTATACGAACTTTTTTACTTATTTTTATCTGCAGAGTATGCTGCCGAAGTTTCCAGAATACAGTTCGGACCACCCTGTATATAAAAAAAATGAAAATTTAGTTTTAAACTGCTAGTCATTTATCATAAGATAGCTCAATTTACGTAAATTTCATGCATTTGATACAAATACCACTCAGTTGTAAGTGAATGGCATTCATATTCAAATACGCATAAAAATTAGAAATTCTTGATTTCAACCTCCTGTATATAGAAAACGGTAAATGCAAAGTATACTAAACTATATATTTTGAAATTAGCGCTAAAATTTGTCTACCGGGCAGTGTTAAAATTTGATGTGGTTTAAAAAATCAAGATAGCGTCGTATCTGTCAAAATTGACGATTTAAAAAGTTTGGTGTAGAAAATCGGCATCCTCGCGAAAATTACATTAAAATATATTTTACTATCTTAAAATAAAAAGAGGAAAATTTTAAATTGGGTGAGACACTTAAAATGATTCTGGAACAATTCATTTTAAATCCACTGTATATCGAAACGAAGGTGCAAGTATACTAAACTACCTATTTTGAAATTAGCTAAAATGTCTGCGGACCATGCTAAAATAAGTGATGTGGTTTCTATTTAAAAAAATCAAGATGGCGTCGTATCTGTCAAAAGTGACGATTTAAAAAGTTACAGTGTAGAAAATCGGCATCCTCGCGAAAAATTACATTAAAATATATTTTACTATCTTAAAATAAAAAGAGGAAAATTTTAAATTGGGTGAGACACTTAAAATGATTCTGGAACAATTCATTTTAAATCCACTGTATATCGAAAACAGTAAGTGCAAAGAGTATACTAAACTATATATTTTTTGAAATTAGCTAAAATATGTCTACCGGACCATGCTAAAATAAGTGGGGGTTTCCATTTAAAAAAATCAAGATGGCGTCATCTGTCAAAATTGACGATTTAAAAATTTTGGTGTAGAAAATCGACATCCTCATGAAAAATTACAACAATATCTTTTACTATCTTAAAATATAGGAAGGAAAATTTTAAATTAGATTGAGACACTTAAAATGATTCTGGAACAATTCATTTTTAAATCCCCTGTATATAGAAAACGGTAAGAGCAAAGTATACTAAACTATATATATTTGAAATTAGCTAAAATATGTCTACCGGACCATGCTAAAATAAGTGGGGGTTTCCATTTTAAAAAAATCAAGATGGCGTCGTATCTGTCAAAATTGACGATTTAAAAAATTTTGGTGTAGAAAATCGGCATCCTCGCGAAAAATTACATTGAAATATCTTTTTACTA